TCTCATGGAAAGATTCTCTCCTTAGTTGCATTCTGTTATTTTAAATATTATAGTATACTTACTGCTTTAAATAGTGTTTTATACAATATGACTTGTGTCTATGTAATATTTACTTGGTATCCTGGTATCTGTCTGAGCATAAGATATGTTCCTCAAAAGAATGTTTTAAGACAGTATCACCAGTGTCTGCAGTGGGACTCTTCCTTCCCTTCATCTGCTCCTAGAAGAAAAGTTGCATTTGGGATGCAATGCATTGATTTGTCAATATTTTATTTCAGTATAGATATTGCTGGATATATATAGAGGATGCAAAGATGATGTGAAGTTGAATGAACAAGAAGGAGATCGGGACAGTTGTTAGCTTCTGTAGGTGTTAACTTTATGTTTTTAGGTGGACATCCAGGAGTGCTTGGATATCTTGCAAAGATTCTTCTGGTAAAAAGTCAGGTGGTCTATCCAACATCTTGGACCAAAAATGCAACAATCCTTGATGATAAAGCCTGGGATCATAAATTTGACTCTGTATCCTAGGTGAGCCACGGTATACTTCAGAAAATAAGTGTTGTGCCCTTGCAGGATCCAAAATAACTAAAGAGATCAACGTCAGGCTTTTATATAATCACCAAAGTTTACTGCGATCGATGTAAACCTCTAAAGGATTCTCCTGGGATAGTCTATGATACTTAGTGCTTAGCAATCTGGAAAGCTGAAATGACACAGAACTGATCTATCTAGACAGAAATGGTTGTTGGAGACTCATTTCCACAGTATATCTAAGTATGTCAGTGTCCTCTTTGAATCATAATTCAAATAAAAATATTAGATTAGGGAAAATAGCAATCCAAATTACCTTTCTGCTCTGCATCTCAGCAGGTCTTGCGTTGTCTTCTGTTTCAGCAGCTCTTTGGTGAAAAAGGCTGTGTTTCCACTGGATTTGCTACAAGCATCTTTCTGGCATTTAGCAAATAAATTGCCAATAACAAAGCTGATAGCAACAATGACTATAAGGACAGTAACCAGGTATCTGTCCGAACTCTGAAATCCTTCTGTGTCAGTGATTTCATGGTTGGCAGACCATCACACTGTCTTCCAGGACCATCTGATACTACATGATGGCTGTTCAGTGAGCATGAATCGTGACTTATTCACAGGCTGGAAAGTATGCAGAGACATCAGATCTCCATTAGCCTAACATGGCTTTTCTCAGAGGGGTACATAGCAGGAACAATACAATATACATATACTGCACAGCATCTCTTTCCCAATGCTAACAATTGCACTGGGAAGGCTTCTGGAGAACCAGTTGAAATATGGCTGGTGCTGCTACTGTGATCCAGACACTGCAACAGCTTTGTGAACTAGGACCTTTGATGCCACTTTAAAACAATTACATTTTAGAACATCTCTATATGGTGTCTTTAAGTTTCCTGTCATACGCCTTCTGCTCAATTATCAGCTGCAAAAGAACAAAATCCATTTCTGCTTGAGTTCCAACTGTTCAAGTTAAGAGAGCACAAGCAGTTAAACTGTATTAATAAATTTATTTGCTACAAATTCAAGCAATTGGAAACTTACTTCCCATACTTGCATGTCTCTCAAAATTAACAAAAAAAAAAAAGGGGAATTCAGAAGCCATATGCTGTTGTGACACCCATGCAATGTAAATTGATAACCAGTTTGGATGCCATTCCCTAGTTTATTGGAGATCACTTCCAAGAAAGATAGATCTGCTGACAAGATTAAACAAGTGACTCATGAAAACAAACAAGGAAATAATCTCTCATGTTCAGTGCAGGGTTTGGGGCTTGTGGAATATCCTACCCAGGAGAGTTCCTGCATTGGCAGAGTGCCTGATGTGGGTTTAAAAAGATACTAGCTCATTGTAAAGTTTGTACAGCAAGCAGGAAATGATACTTCACGTTTCCCAGTCCTCCTCCCACTCCCTGAACAAATCATTCACACCACGGTGGGATTAGCAATTAGCTGGTATATGCCTTGAATACTGGCTAGCAAGAACTGCAAAATCCTCACCAGTGGGACTAAGAAAAAATAATAGTCACTCACCAGTCTCATACTTTTCTCTGTTCCTTTTCCACACAGTGCTAAAGAGGTGAAAGTGATGAACTCCTGAATCTAAACTTACGAATTTCAAGATAATTCAGACCCAGTGTTCAAATCTGCTTACTAGTAAATCAATAGACAAGTGGTTCAGCATTGCTGCCTTAAATGTCTTGATTCCATGAAAAACCCAACTATGCATCAGCTTAATGGGGTCAATTTACAGAAAGGCAGTACTTCTTTCAGGGTGGGCCAGAACCTTTGTACAAAGACATGGTACGAATAAGGACAGCTGTCTTGCCTGAGGCAAGAGATCTCCTCTTTGCACACATTGATTAAAAAGTTATATGGACTTTCATTCCCTGTGATCAGAAAGGTCAGGTTAACAAGAGGCACAAATCTAATCTTCATTGAGTACCTTCATGATCAGAAAGTGCTGAGGAGCAAGGAAGATGAGGTGCAAGTTTTAGTTCCTCTGGCTCTTGAGCAAGACACAAGTGCTGCTGCCATCAGCAGGTTACCAAATTAAGATTGTCAGGCAAACATGAAAGGAGATGTCAAAATTACTTACACAGATCCAGGCAGCTTCTGAGCTAATAGAAGTGCACTATAGTGTCTTGCACTACTGTTATGAAGAGGGAAGGTAAGTTTATTTTACTAAGGAGAAGATGGGACCAATTAGGCACTTGTAAAATGGGTATTCCAAACCAGAGAGGACTACTCATATACCAAGACTGCAACTATAGTACAGTTGCTCATATAAATACTGTAAAATAACTTTTCAAACATGGAACAATCCCTCTCAGGCCTATGATTTATTTTCTTCAGCTTCCAAGAGACAGCTTTCAAGGTGGTAAAAGACTCCAGGGATCTATGTTCGTTTTCAAACCTTGAAAATATACCTAGAAAAAGTGGAATCAGAACTTTAAGACAATCTGTGTCTTACTAGTAAGAATCAAGAGCAGTAGTTTCAGTGATTGTCTTAAGAACAAATGCAAAGAGAATACACTTTACACTGAGGATAATGAAGGATCCAGTTATATTTAAGATAAAAATGAAATCTGCAATTAAAATATTTCCTAAGGATTAAAACCAGGAATCTGGTGATAGATGCAGTTCTTGTTCCTTGCTTTGAATTAATTTATTTTCCTTTCTTCACCTTGATTCATACTGTTTCTGTGTGATGATGTCCAAAATGCCTTGAGATTTAATTATACAGATGGCTAAAACTTGTTACCTCAAGCAAAATAGCAGAAAAATAGTCATGTTACGTGCAGACCAAACAACTGGTATCTTGATCGAAATGAGCAAAAGAAGCAGAGAAAGCAATACTACAGAAGCCTAAAAACTGAAAGCTACTGGGAAAATAATTCTGGCTCATTTCCTTAGCTGGTAGCTATCAGCTTGCAGTCATCCTTTTCAAGTGTCCAGTTCTTGTTTACTCCTCTGGTTCAGATTTTTGTTTTAAATGTTTGAAGTAACATTTTTGAAATTAGATTAATAATCTTGTAAAAGGTAAAATACTGTTTTGCTTAGTTAGGTGAAAGTTATTCAGATCTTCTCCCTTTCCTCTTCATACAGATTTTGTGAGTCTGCACAGGAAGAAACTGAGAAGAAAACTGAGCCCTGGAACAAGCAAGAATAATTCCATTACCTTTTTAATAACCAATAATTCTGTTAATTTTTTTATTATGACTCAAATTCCGGTCTGCTACACGGCAGTATGTACCTTCTTATTCAGGTGTGGAGGTGGCAATAGCACCTCCAAAAAGAGCCTCATGTGACATAACTTTCCCCAGTCACCTTTGGAAGTCCACTCCCTAAGGTTTCTCAGAGTGCTCTTTGAAATTTTTTGGTATGTCTTACTCTCTGTTTGAAATCAACATGGCGTGTGTTATACAGCACAAAACAGTCCAGACAGCAACAATGTGACCATGGTGATTGGCACATGCAATTTGTGAAAGTCCCATTTAGGAAAATGCCATATAAATGGAGGGCTAGAACCTCCCAACCATTGCGTAGGTGGGTGATCCTTCATGAGGTAAGTACCTGTGCCTCAGAGCCTTTAAAATCTCACCTGTTTCTGTATTTACAAGCAGCTATTAAATTACCAGAAAATATCATATTTTGAAGGGAGCCAAGTTAAATGGTGTGTCTATAAGACCAGGGTGTATGATGAACTGTAGCAACAGCAGATTTATTGTAAGACAATCTTTTAAGAGCATAAGTGTAACATGTAATGGCTTAGAAAGATTTAACAGCTTACAAAGCTTAAGGTTAAAACTCCAATAGCTGAGTTCTTAGTTCTACCAGTGGAGGCTGGAAGGAATCCCACACAGCCCCTAGACTTTCCTAGGATGACTACAGATAACATTTTACCTTGACAATAAGCCAGTTTTACCTAAAGGGAGATAACCTCCTTCTGGATGTTCTGCTAGCCAGGAAAACAATCTAAGTCTGAGAAGTTCTTTGTCTCTCTGCTTGTTGAGTACTAGTCTTCTCAGGAAAGTCCTGGGGGGTCACCACTGACGTTTTTTGTGATGCATTAGTGATTGTGGGTGGAGAATAAAAATTCAGAAAGGAGAAACAGTATCTATTTAAACATTAAAGAAAGAGCAGAATTTGTGTAAAGCAGTTAGAGCAAAAAGTATACTTCAGTTTCATGGTATAAATTTACCATCTCGATACAGTAGATATTGACAATAAATGCAGATTTCAGCACAGCAGAGACACCAAGTTAATCCATTTGGTTTGATACAGACTCACTGTGAAGCAAAACTCCATTACCTTTTAGTAATGCTGTCAGGATGGCTAAATCAATATCCTGATGTCCTTCTGATCCCATGCGAAATACTGTGATCTGAAATGTCAAAAGACAATACCATTATTGCAATCAGGGTCATTTTTTAAAAAAGAAATTACATCAGGCCAGCATCATTTGGATCTCAAAATGTCCTGGTGGCTACAAGATGATCTTACTTTACACATTTTATAAGAAGCTTATTAGATAGGATTAACACACAGTATTTTTTTTATGAGATAAAATTTGGTAAAGATTGAAATTTCATTAATGAGCATATGGAAGAAAAGTCTTCAGTGATACTTTCAGTGTGACATTAGAGATCAAGGAATGTTCTTGTATTAGAGTAACATTATATTCAGTGTTTCCAATACATTACTGGGAGGAATTAGGTATATTATATGTTGTGGATCTAATTTATGGTAGACAGCATTGAATAAATCTTTTTGACCAAGATGAGCAACCTATTCAAACTCATGGTTTTATATAGCAGAAACTTAGGTAAACAATTCAAGAATTAGGCTTCTAACAGGTCCAGAAACATCTTCAGCTATGTGTGGTCAGTGACTGTCACTATAAGATATAAACTTTGAGGCAGTGAGGTGAGATACACAATTTCTAAAGAACAGGAATGAATATAGTGGGGCTGTTCTTTCAAGACAGTTTCACTCTTGGTTAAAACTGCACTGAAACATATTGAAGTGTAAATCCCCCCTGCTCCTGTTGTTGCCATGGCAATAGCTGCTCTTGGGCCTCTGCTTCTTGTGAAGCAACTGAGACTGCAGCTTTTCATTAGTGCCTTTCCTCTACTAATGAAACTTGTCATCATTTTGATATGAATATGTTATCTGTTTTTTTTTTTTTTCTTTTGCCAGTACAGACTGCCTCAATTTTTTGGCCATTGTCCAAATGCCTCTTAAACACTGACAAGCATGGGGCATCGACCACCTCTCTAGTAAACCTGCTTGGTGTCTGACCACCCTCTCTGTAACACAACGTTTCCTGATGTTTTTCCTAACATTTTTCCTAATATTTATCTTATCTTCTCAGTGACTGGCAAGGAAGCTTTCCCTGCAGTGAAGGCAATCTGCTCCTCTGACCTGTAGAGCACAGGTAATGTGGGCAGAAGTACACATTTGTGTGTATGTCTCATCTCAAAACACAACAAAAAAGTGAGCTGATGAGCTCAGCCCCTCTACTGTACATGCTCATGATGCACTTCCTGTGCCACAGATGATGAACTGTGCCACAGAGGTTAGCAGCCAGGCAGCTGGGTCAGAAGGCAGAAGGAAGAGAAAGCCTTCCTCCTTTACCCAGCAGGAAAGAGGAGCATCTCCCTTCTCATGGGCAGCTCTGGCAGGTGCTGAAAATAAGTGAGTGAGTACAGTATTGCCACGTAACAGATCATAACATCCTCACAACGCTTTGCAATTTCCTACACAATTTTTTGCAGCAATAGGCATCTCCATAGCACTGCAGGGAATCATGACAGCCTGGCAAGCAGATAAGCTAATGCTGGGAATGTCTAGTTCGTATCACTGTGCTTGGTGCACCATCACATGGCAAAATGCCCTTCTTCTTTAAGGCTAATAAGTGAAGCAGTCTGCACATTGCGGACTGAAAATGCTGAACAACAGGAGTTCAGTGGAACAACAAAGTACATCTCAAACTAAACACATGCTCAGTTAACTCTCAGCTTAATTAAAAGGCATCATATAAATTGCAAGCACTGAACAACTTATCACTGCAGGAAAACTAAGGGAAGCACTGCATTTATTGGATAACCTTAGATTTCCAGCTTCTCTTTCATCCTTCTTCCCTGTATGCCTCAGAAAAATATACCCACTTCAGCAGAACAAATTGCTGCTATATTAAAAATAAAATAGAACTATGTAATTTAGTTACATTAGAATAAAAAAGTATCTTTCCACAGTGACTTTTATTATTATTTTAAAGAGGTCTAGGTGTAATTCAAGTAGTAAAATAAAGAACAAGAAAATACATAACTGGGAAAAAATATGGAAATGGAAAGAGGGCTCAGACTCATATAAGAATTATTATCATTTTGGGGATCATACCTAAGTCTGAACTAGAATTTTAGCAGAACCAAGGCAAAATATCATGATACTTCATTTCAAAATGCTGTGAATTTAGTAGCTCAAAGACTCAGCTGAGACTGTGGACTTTTGCTTGCTCTGAATGAACGAAATCTTCTAAGATGGTAAACAGATACATTTAGCCTCTCCTTATGGTATCGGTTAACTGTAACTATCCATAGCTGCTTTCTTTCCTGTCACAGATCCTGGAGATGATTTCGGACAAGCTGCAGTACCTTACTACTCTTACTCATGCAGGTTTTTTTTAGAAACTTTTCACACTTAGTCATCCTTTGAACTGTTGCCTCCCAACCTGGCGAAACAGCTTTTGGTCAACCTGGACCTCATAGGCAGGTCTTTGCCCTGCCGTGGTTTCCCATGGTTTTGGGAAGATTGATTATTTCTTCTTTCCACTATTGCCCTAAAGCTTGACCAATGCTTTTGTTCATTCACAAAGTGGAGGATTTAAAACAGGACCGCACTGTAATTAGGCAAGGAGACAACTTTGTCACGCTGTTGATAATAAAACCTTAGTCCTGATCTGCAGCATTCTTCAGGTATAACTTGTTCGCTTTGTATCTTTGCCAGATGTGTTGGTTGCTTCCACTATTGGATGTCAGAGGTATTTAAGTATAGTGACACTTGCTTTTAAATGGCTAAAGGAAAATATCCCAACTCTCATGGCTCTGCAGAATGAATTTTGGAAGACGAGGCTTAGAGCTGCAGTGTGCTGTCTGTTGAACCGTTTGTATCATCATCACTTCTACTTTACCTCGCAAACCCAGGCCATTATCAAACCACACAGCTGCAGCTTTTGTTCTCCTTCAGTAACAATTTATGATCCAGGGACAAGGCAGCGGGACTAGAGGAATATTGCTATTATGTTTTGAGTTCCAAACTAACAGCCTGTGAGGAACCCTGAGCATCTCAAATAGATCTGTATTGCTTATCCAATGCCGCTTTATGTTAGGCTGCTGTCATGCTTGGATGATTCATTAATGAAGAGGGCTGAACATTCCCCTTGCCTTTTTTCACAATTTTTATTAGGAATGCATCTGCAGATGCTGCCTCTTCGTTTTTTTCCTGTCACATTTAAATGTGGATAAAAAGAGAAAATAAACAAGCTTTGTAAAACACCGAGAGAGGCAGAAAAACATACAATTTGTTGTTGGATGAGATCCTTGTACTAAAGAGTTTCTTGACCTTTCCAGAAAGAAAGCATGAAATTTGTTTTTGTATTTTACGAGTACAGTTATGAAGAGACAGCAATTGTTCCTAAAACATGGATTTACTTCTTTACTTATACAGTCTTTGTAGTTTTCCCAGCATCCTTTAATTTTTTTTTAGTCGAGGGGCATGAGGAAATAGCGACACATCCTAAGGTATTTATGTAAACTTTACAACTAGAAATGTTCCATATCTCTAGGTCTCAAAAAACCTTTATCTGTCTTGCTGGAGACCTGTTCTTCTGGTGGTTTCTCTTCCACCAATTAACAGGGAAGAGTTTTATGTTTGCATTATACTCATCTAGTTTCAAGAGTCATTAATGTGTCCACATCTTGCTAGCTGCCATTTACAGGTACTCTGGTGGGTAAATCACTGCAGTGAACTGATAAACAATACATCTGTGCTGTTAAAATAGAACATTGACTAGAGCCCTGTTAGAATGGGCTACAGATGCTACTGCACTAATGTATGTAAAACTGCCGTGCTAAAGGATATTATCTGGGTCAGTAAACTCTGTTCGCAGCTTCCTCTTGCTGGATGAATGTCTGCCACGGAGATCCAAAAATAACAGTAAATTAAAGACTTAGAAACCTACTTAATAACTCATTACTAGAAAAAAAGAAAGCCTTTCTTCTCTGAATGAAGAGACAGTGCCTAAGAGCCAGTCACCTTTAAAAAGACCTGCTGTAGGCCTGTTTAAACCTCTGTTGAGTCCTAGCCTCTGTACAAGTTTAGTGAAAAAAATAAAAGGAAAACAGCCTAGTAAAATGTATATATGAAATCCAGGACATTTAATTAGAAACAAAATAAACTCCAAGAAATTTGGGTTAAAAGGTAATGCATGCTTAAAACTTGCTTAACCTGCCAAAAGAAAACAAGGGTAAGAGCTGCAGTATTAGTCAGACTACCACTAGCCATTCTTTTGTGTCTAAACCGAGAAATTTTCTTTATGCTGATCTGATTAAAAATGTGTCTGTGAAATAGTTTTCTATTTTTCTGAGCATAATGAAATTGTATTAGAGAGAAAAACTACCATTTATCCTACTCAGCTATTTATTTTGAGCTAAAAACCAATTTACATTCAAAGAAGAAAAAAATTAAAAAAGCAAGTATTTTTTTTCTCCCAGGGATTTGGGCCACATCATTACTTCCATGTAGCTGGTACTTTCAATTGTTGATGTTAAACTCAATTATTTTAAAGGTACAGTTTTTTTCAGTTCCTGTGCCACCACTTTAGGTATTTTGGGGTTGATCTTTTTCAGTTTCCTGCTTTCTTTCCCCAGTGTTCACACTATTTATTGGCTTGAAATGACTTTTTCAGGTAATTGCCTGAGGCATCTCAGTGAACAACTGTGACTTTCAGCAGCAAGGTTTTTTTTAAATGTATTTTTCTTCTTTTCTTTACAAATATAATAGAAGCTGATGTTAACATCCCTTACAAATATAAAACTGTATTGCACTGTACTGAAGAAACAATTAGATCTTCACAAGAAAACACACCTGAAGCAGACAAGCAAAAATGCCTCTGAGTCACAGATAAAGGTTGCACCAACAAGGTGCAAAACCAGTGTTAATAGGCATCTAGATTCTTGCTAAATGCAACTCTAGTGTCTTGATTTCTTTCGCTATGCCCACAGTGATCTACTTGCAAAGTGCAGTAAATAGCAGCTACTTCCAATGCTGGGGGCAGCTAGGCAAGGACCACCTGCTCCGCTGGGCTCCTTGCAGGAGGACATG